CTGTAATCTTTTAAACCCGGGAGTTCATCCATCAGGGAAAAGAAAAGTTGGTCGTGTAAGTCGAGAGCCCGGCTGTCCGCCAGATTTATAACCCAGAGGAGTGAGATGGGGTGGGGGGGGATTCGTTCCCGGAGGGCAGTGGACCTGCGGTTCCCAGACGCGGAAAACGCGCTCGTCTTTCCTGCCAGCCCTGTCCTGGGCGCCGCGAGAGGGACACGAGGGGCCCCACGGAGAGAGAGAAGCTGGCGGACGCGCCGGGGCCACCCCCTCCCCGAGGGGCGCCCTGCGCGGGGGGGCGCTGCCTGGGTTTAGGGTTGCCGGACAAAAACGGCAGGACGCCCAGTTAAACCTGAACTTCAGATGAATAATGAAAAAGTGTTTTAGTCGAAGTATGCCCCGGGCAATAGTTGACATCCTATTTTTTGTATGTGTGTTTGCTTATTTGCACTTTTTTTGTTGTTGCTGAATCTGGCAACCCACCGAAGCTGCGGAGGCAGCAGGGAGGGAGCGGGAAGGGCGTGAAGAGGCCGCCGGCTTCTCGCCCCTGCAGCGCGCAGCTCCCGGGCCTGCCCTCGCGGCCCTCGGGTGAGCCAGGAGGGCGCCTGCGGCCCCCGAGGCGGCCCGGGAGGGCCTGGGAGCGGGCCCGAGCCGCCGCCTGCAGTCTCCCCGGGACCGGAACCGGGTGCTAGGGGCCAGCGGCCCAGGGCGGCCGCCCCGCCGCGGCGCGCGCCTTTCCTAGAGTTCCCGCTCCGCTCCCCTGGAAGAAGAGAGCCCCGGCGTAGGTGCCTCTGGGGGGGGGGTCCCCCCGCCGGGACGTTGCCCCGGGCCACCGTCTGCACCTGCTGCGCTCCCCGGCACCTGTGCGTCCTGCGTCCCACCCCCTGCGCCAGCCCAGGCGACAGGTTTGCAAGAGGCCGCGAGTACAGGACCGCTGGAACCTCTGCATTTGGTCGGTTTTTGTGTTTCAAAGCGCTACTATGAGTCAGGTTCCTCGCCCCAAATCCAGCCGTCTTAAATAACCAGACCGCCTCCGTTTTTTTTTTTTTTAATTCATAACTACACTTCATGAATGACTTTGAAGTCTTTCTGGCTTTTTCGTTTGTTTCTAGTCTATAATCACTAGGGTTTCCCATTCTGGCCGGGCACCGGTGATCGGGTAACAATCATTACACTTGCAGGGGCGTCTATCTCTTCTTTAAAAAAAATAAAATTAAAGTACAATTAAATAATAGGAAGCAGACGGGACAGGACTCAATCAAGCTGGAGCAAAAAAAAGCACAGAGCTGGCCTTAAGTTGCTAAGAGCTGCCGAGCAGGAGATAAAACTAAATAAAGACAGTGTTCTACAATCTCCTTTCTTCTCTCCTTGTAGGTCTCTTGTTTGCTCCTCTTCAGGAGAAACACACAGAAAAGGAGCTCCTGCTTTCCTACCTGATCCTGGTTTTCTGTTCCTAACCAAATATGCTGTTTTTTATTTCTTTTTCCTTCCTTTTCCTTTAAGAACATTTTAAAGAACTTGTGTACCATTTACTTTGTAGACAAATGTAGGAAGAATCTATAACCACGGGTCTTTCCTTGCACAGCCCCAGGGTACCCAGGACACCTCCTGGGGAGGGGGAGAAGCTGGGGGTGGGGGAAGGGATGAGAACACAAGACTGTAACTTTAGCTCCTCACCTTGGTCGTGACCCTTAACTTTCCTCAGCTCTTGAGCCCACGTCCGGAAAGGCTGGCTTGGCTGGTTGAAGCTGCTGACTCAGATACACTAAAAGCTGAAAAAAGTTCACACTTCCCATGATATTTTCATGGGGGGAGGGGAGAGGGTGAAGACGATGAAGAGGGAATTTAGGAGAATAGGTGAGTCAGTGGTATAAAGAAGCTTAAATTAGAATTTGGGGCTCAATCAAAATCTAGTAATGTGAGGCCAGTCATAGGCGATAATCAAGGAGCAAGGGAAATTACACCCAGAAGGAAAAAAGAAGGCTCCAATCCGGAACTAGAAGTAATAACATTAGAGTAGGAAAATTCTCCTTAAAGCCACCGCCACATTGAAAGGGATGCTCAGCGTACTCCCCTGTTAGATAAAACCACCGCCACTCCTTTAAAGAATCTGAAGCGGAATTTTGGGATAGAGATTTCTTTGAGCAACACAGGTGAAATGTGGTGTGAACGTGTCACTCCCCCAATGGGGCATTTTTCCTCCAGCGGTGCCCAAGAAATGTAGTACCCTTCTCTAGGGCAAGCAGGTCTCTCAAGGATTTCTGGAGAGGGAAAGACTCCTGAGTTTGTATCCAATAGCAAACAAGTATATGTCTCCATAGCTATGTACTAAAGAGGCCCTTTGCAAAAAGAACCAACGGCCTTTTTGATACAGATATCACAAACAAGCACATCTCTGTAATGTGCCAGCCGACATGTAGATTCCTAATGGTCTGTGAACTTACTGTACACGTGGACCTACCATTCCAATAGAGCGTCACTTACTTTTCTAAATGCAGTGAGCTACTTGTCCAGGAGTATCTGATACGCTGCTAAATACGCATAGCATGTTACATACAAACACATTACAGAACAGCTGCAAAAAGGCATAGTACACACAGCAACCGGTCTTCACACTAGACAGTTTTCTCTGACTTAAATCCCAAATGGGCTTCCTCCATATAAAGCAATGCACCTGTAGGCTTGCCTTCCTAATAGGAAATAATGATCTGTTCTTTTCCTGCCTCCTCCCACCTTTGGATTGGTGATTGGCTATTTTTTAAAAGCATGGAATTATGGGGTCGAACCGACTGAAAGAAGAGAACAAAAGTTATATAAATAAATGTGCAAAATATGCAGCCTGAGGAGCTGGAAACTGGGCTTTTGGTTCCTGATGGCTCGGGTCCCCCAAAGCCTAGTCTCCTGTTCAATTACTTGTTTTCAATTCGGAAGGTTCAGGCTATCCCTGAATAATTGGTGTGGGAGTAAGAGAGAGCGCACCAGGGTTGGTTTCTCCAGTTGAATGGTCTCCCTCTTTTATTCCCCCCAGGCTGGCTATGGCAGCGTCTACCCCGCCTTCCTTCCGGCTCTCAAGACCCCTCCTCCCTTGGTTGTTTTGGTTTTGCAACTCCTTAGAAACCTTGAACTCTGGCTATCCCAAAGACTGGTTTGAAGAGCACAAGGTGTGAAAGAATCCCCTCTTGGACAAAGACTCCAGAACCCAATGCCCTTGGGGTGCTGCTGGGCTGGCTTACAGGGCCAGCTCCTGTTCTGCCACTGGGGGAACCCAGACAGGGAAACTGGAAACAGAAAGGTTAAGAAAAGTTACTGGCATGGGTCAACTTCTAGAACTGAGACACAACCCTCCTAGTTACTTGTCCTAACTTAAAAGAGAAAAGCAAAAAGAATCTTCTTGAATCGTCTTTCTCCTCGCCTCCCATTCCTCTACGGCAAATGTATAAATCCAAGAGATGAGAGGGACAAAAGATTGCCAAGGCATGGGGGGGTGGGGGTGCTCATTACTCACACATACGCTTATACCCTACTTTAGATTAAATATCCACAAAAATCCATGTTCAGCAAACTGTCCACAAAACGCCCAGTCCTACTCTTCACGTAGATATTCTCAGCGCTTCAGGCCTGCAGAGCGTAACTGAGCAACAGGACAGCAGACCGACCTGTGCCCTCCAGGCTATCAGCTCACCAGTGAGTCTGCATTTCCCCAGCTCCACACAGCAGTCCAGTGCTCCCAAAAGCATCTCTCCAGAAGCCAGGGCCAATGTATTTGGCGGGGGGGGGGGGGGGGGGGGGGGGTGTAGGCAGAAGCTCTATCACAGCTCTACCTACAAGAGGGCTCTGGGCCTTCCAGGGCCTGCCCTCTCCAAATTTCAGTATAGCCCCTACTCCGCTTCCTGGCAAGATGGGCTTTTTACCTGTTGTACATTCGGCCTGGTCCAAGGGAACATCAAACACATGACCACTGAATTCCAAGAGCCTAAAATCACAGGAGCACTCCGGCTGGCAGGGACAGCAAGCCAGAGATTCCCCAGGAGGAAAGAGACTCAACTGGGGTCTGCAGGGCCGGAGGAAGGAAGCAGATGGAAGCGGGGAGGTGGGCTGTGGGAATATGCCCACCTCCAGGACTCTGGGCAGACGCTCCCTCTCTGCAGCACCGCACAGGAGGAGACGGAAGGGGAGGTGAGAGAGCCTTTTCTTCAAAGCTGCCGCTTAGTAGCAAGGGGCCCACCACCACATCCGCCCAGAACCCGGGAAAGGGCTGGGCAGAGGTGTCCTTCTCCACTGTAAGACAAGTTTTAGCTGTATTTCTTTAAACCACAAAGACCGCTGAGGGCGGCCGGAGGAACGGCCTTAAAAGATCTGAGCAGCTCCGCAAAAGCTGGGTGCGCCAGATTCGGGGTGTCCCGCTACCATTTCAGGAAGCTTTCTGGCCCTTTTTACTAAGCTTCTAAATAGGGCTTCCTTCAACACATCGCAAGAAGCTGGAAGCCACAGTGCCTTACTAGAAAGGCTTCGGGTTCACTCCAGTTCCCTGGGCCGGAGAAGCACGCCCAGCTCAGGCTGGCCAAGCCTTGGCCTAGGCTACAGTTCCCTGAACCTACCTGTCCCAACCTCCAAAGGCAAGGCCCTCTGTGCCCGCAGCCAGAAAAGCCCGGCCGCGCAGTGGGGTGTGTGCCCGCGTGGGTTTTAACGTGGTCCTGCTTCGACCTCTTTATTTACCGGTTGGCGCGGCCACGTTCCCCCGGGGAAGGCGTCTGGCGAGCCCGACTCCCAGTCCCGCCATTTGGCTCGCCCGAGGCACCTTGCCGGCAGGTGCCTGGGCTCCACCTGCTCCGGGTCCAGACTGAAGGCCGGCCTGCGCCCGGAGAGTAAGAACCGTCCTGGCGAGAGTTGGGCGGTAAGGCCCGAACATTACCTGCGGGCCTCCCCCGGGCAAAGCCGCCGCGGCCGCTGCGAAGGTTTCGCCCACGCGCCGCGCCCGGCTCGCGCACGGCAGACGCTCTTACCTGGCTTGGCGAGCGGCGCCGGCAACGGCCCGGGCTGGGGCTCGGCGGCCCAGCGCAGCGCGGCGGCCGCAGCCAACTCCACGGCGGGCCGCGGCGGCGGCGGCGGCGGCGGCTGAGACGGCTGCGAGGTCGGCGGCGGCTGCGGGGCGGCGGCGGCGGCGTCCCCCGTTGGCGGGGGGCCGGGCAGGGAGCGCAGCGAGTCCGGGATGAGGCTCTCCAGGCTCTCGTTGGCCTGCTGCCGGCGCAGCGCCACCTGCGCGGCCATGACCCGCTGCCGCTCGATGATGAGGATGCACTTCTCGCAGGTGCAGTCCTTGAAGCGGCAGTAGCGCTTGTGGCCCTTGAGCCAGGACAGCACGCCGTGGTTGCGGCAGCGCGCGCACTTGGGCGTGCGCTGCAAGGGCGCCCGCGGCGGCTGCGACACCGGGCCGCCCATGTACAGGTAGGGGGAGCCGTAGCCGTTCATGTCCCGGACTCCAGGGAGAGCAGGCGGGCTGGCGGTGGCAGCGGGCCGGGGGGCGCCGGACGGCGGGGCCGGGAGGCCCGCTCCGGGGCGGCCCGCGGGCGGAGCGGTCCCTGGTCCCGCAGCCCCGGCGGCTGCGTGCGCTCCGGGATGGCGGGGGGTGCAGCCGCCGTCTTCACGGATCCCGCGGCGCCCGCAGCCTCAGCCTCCCTCGGGTGCTCGGCAAGTCCCCCGCGGGTGGCGCCTAGGCCGGCGGCTGCCTCGGCCGGCACGTCCTCCCTCGCCGAGGCGCTGCGGCGGCTGCGAGGAGCCGGCGAGAGCTCTGGTTAAGGTCTGATGCAGCTCCCGCGCGCGCTGGCCGGCCCCTGCACCTCCTCCGCCGCCCTCCCCCCACTCCTCCCCCCTCCCACTGCCACCCCCACCCCCACCCCCGGGGTCCCGATCTCCTTGCGCTCCCCACTCTCCACCCCACTCCACGCCTTCCTCCTTCCTTCCCGCTCGCGCCCCCGGAGTCCCTGCACTTCACCTTCCTTGCCACCTGCAGCCGGGCCACTCTGGCGGGGGCGCTCACGGCCCCCTACTCCAAGCTCCCTACGCTTTGCCGGACTGCAGCGCTCGGGACGCGGCCGTGCCCTCGGGGCGGGGAAGAGGTGGACCCGCGGGGGTGAGGGTGGGGGTGCCTGTAGGCCAGTGAGGTGACCGCTCCCCAGCGCTCCCCCCCACACGCCCCCGCAGGCCTGCTCTGGCAGCACCGAGCCGGAGACCGCTTTCAGCCCCACGCTTGGCCGCAGGGAGGGCGCCGCGAGATCCGGAGCCTATCGGAGCGCCGCGGGTACACCCGGGACTCGGCAGGAGCCGGGAGAGTTTTAAATTGGGGCAAGCCAGGCCCTGGGGCCACTGGCGGGTGGAGTTGGGTTAGGGCAGTGGAATTGGTCCAGGAAATTTTGGTTTTCTTCATTTCCTTTTGCAACATTTTTTCTTTTGCTGCTGTAGAATAAAATGAATGTTTGTGAAAACCTACGGGCCCAAGGATGACAACCCATTTTGCAGGCTATTTCAAAAAGAACAGTCCTCCCTCTCTGGCATTGACTTTTGTTTCTCTACCCTCCTCCCCATGGTTTAGTAAAAAACAGTTTCTGTCCTGAAAGGTCCGGAGGCGCTCTTGTGGAAGACTTGCTTGAGTGCGGGATCTAAACTTTACGAGAGCCGACGAGGGAGCCACGTTAGCGTCCCACAAGTTACCGGATGTGATGATCCCCGCTCTGCTCTGCCCAACAGCCATCGCGCCATCAAACCGAGCTCTGGAGTCATCTAATTCAAATCCCCACAGACTTAGTGATTGAGTTGCGGAGAAGGGATGGGGCCGTTCTCCCCTTCCCCCACCCCAGCGTCTCTGCACACGAGGACAGCATCACACTTTGTTTAAACTGTTGCCGGCGTGGCTCTAATGTACGAGTACCGGTTTGGCCTAATGCAGACTACCGCGAGCAATGCACAGGGAAGCCTAAGCAAACACACACACACACCCCGCAAGGAAACAAAGAAACAAACAAAAACAGGAGGGTGAAGCGGTGCAGGCGAGCACAAGGGTTCAGTGCAAAGCTGGGGAGGCGGCATTCCCCGAGGCTTCGTTCGGCAGGCTCCTGAGAGGACACTGAGTTCATCTCTTGGAGGTCGGGGCCAGTCGAATTCGAGATGAGTCCGCGGCAATGGCCAACCCTTCGGCTGCACAGCGCCCCTTGTCCCCTCGGGGAGGCCGTTTTTCTCTGCACCGTCCTGAAAGCAAACAAGCAACAGGAAAACGTCCCTCTGTGTTTGCTGTGAATTCAAGTAAAGCGCCGCCAGGCCTCCTGGCAGCCAACCCTCCGCCCCGAAGGGTGGTTCTGGGAAGGGAGGAGGATTATAAAGGGAACCCGGTTGTGTGCGTTTCCCTTGAAGCCCTTAGCCGCCCCCCTTTTCAGACTAGTCCTGGAGTTGGGGATCGCTGGATGCTGGCTTGCTGGTGGGGCGTGGGCAGGAAACCCTGACGCTAGAGTGCTACCCCTAGGAGGCCTCCCCCCAAAGCTGCGTCAGCACAGACCCCTCGGGCGCTTCTCACCCTCCCCCCGCCCCACCTCAATCCCTGTGCTCCCAACCTTCGCTAGGAAAACAAACCCTAAAGCACTACAGCTGGAAGGAACTTCATAAGCTCTCGGGACGGGAGGCAGAGGTCACCGGAACCCCAGAGGGCAAGAGGCTGGGAAGTGGGATGTTGACGAGTCCCATCACATAAAGGGAGACAAGGAGGGTCTAGAATGACACTGAATCTGGGAACTTTCAGGCGGAAATCTCTGGGTCTCTTGGGAATGCAAAGACCATGGACTTTTTTCAGACACGTCTCCCAATTTTCTCCAAATGGTCAGCGAAACTGGGGCGTATAAGTAACTTGGGAATAAAGGATTTTTTTTTTAAGGAAAACAGCTCTCAAAACAGGTTTGGGGGGCATTCCCACTACCAAGGCGACCTCCTTCCCTCCTTCGGTCACCTAGCCACCCTATCCCTTTGCCACTGGAACAGTCTGGCATTATTTGGTCCGGGCCCCGTTTCACTCCAGTGCACATCGGGGGCTGAGATCTAAATACTCATTTGATATAGCGCAATAATCCTTTTCTCATATTTGATGGGAATGTTTTCCATATCCCAGTATTTGACAACATCTCCCTATAGGAACAGGTTTGTATTTATGTTGGTAAAATGTCCCCTGCCTCAAAGTCTATTGTAACCCAACACCTGACAACCCCGAGTCCCATTTCTGTTTGCAGAAAGGGTTTATTCAAGCACATAATGGGATCCCAGCAGAAAGCCTTTCAGAACAAGGGCCTATGGTAAACTTCACCACATGAACTCCGTTTCCAGGGCTATTAAGCTTTTAATTGGAAAATAGCAGAGGAAATTTCAAGGTGACTATAACGTGTTAGCAGTTAGTGCGGAGAAGAAAAGCCCAAGCGGGAATGAATGTAGAAAGCATATGGTCCGAATCACGTTCAGGAGCGGCCTGTTCTAATAAAGTCCCCGCCACTTATGCACTTATGGGAAAAATCATCAAAGAAATTGGGAAGGGAGGAAGGAGGATTACAAGTAAATGTAACCTCACTCGATTGGATCCACTCATGTTCTGCTCTGGGTGGTGCGAGCCCTCCAACCACAGTTATTAACTAGGTAGAATTGTGACAGGTATTAACAGCGGAAGGGTCAAAGAGAATGCGCGTATGTCGTCTTTCTCTTGGCGCACAATCTCGTGGTGTGTATATATTTAAAAGCTGGGAATGTAGATGCCCTAGCTGAGAAGCCGAAGATGTTCTGACTCCAAGTCCAGGAGTCCTGGTGGATGTTCCTCAGCGAAAAACAAAAACAAAAAAACCCCACTTAATCAAAAGGACAGTTTCACATTGTCCCAGATGCAGAATGCAGCAGGAAATTTTCTGCTTTGCTGGATTCTCATGGAGGGGGAGGTCAGGGTTCCTATTTTCCGTTTTAATCGCAACCACGGTGACGCTGGAGGCCGGGGCGTGCAGAAAGCCCTGTGAATGCAGGAAAATGAGCCCCCTCTGTCCGCGCGTGAACTTCTCGGCTCTCATCCCGTCCGCGCCTCTAGGCATTGCTCTTTGGCCAGCTTCAAACTGGAAGTGGGGAACGAGTGTCCGGTGAGGCGGTGGGGCAACCAGCAATTGATTTCTTGAGGTGACAATAATGCCCTTGTTCTCCCTCAATTAAATGGGGAGAGACTCCTGCGCCCCTCCCACAATATCCCCGTAGCCACCCTCTAGGGCGCGGGGTCGAGGGCAGAGGCCGCGTGCGGCCTGGGGCGGGGGGCGGGGGGACGCGAATGAACGTGTCTGGCGGGCCTGGAGATGCGGCTCAGCAGAAGGAAGGTTCAGGACGGGCCCGTCCCCACACCATCTTGGCAGTGGGCGGCCTGAGGATCCTTAAGGGCCGAGGCCTTCTTCAGTAAACGGGGCGTAGACAAGCCCGCAGGCCCTGTGCAGACTGCGGGTGCTGCTGCCTGCTCGGCGCTTCACGTTCTCGAACTCTCGAAACCAGCAGGGGCTCATGCCTGGGCGCTCCCGCTCCCGCTCGTGCAGATGCCTCAGACCCAGTCCTAACCCCCGAGGCCGTGCCCGCCGCCATCCTTTGGGGTTGGGGTGGGGGTGTCGCTCCAGCTTTGCTTCGTCCGAGTGGCCCACTGAGCGCCCACCTCTGCCCCGCGCTTCGCAGGGCGAAGTGGAAAAGCTCGTCCTCGCGGCGCTCCTCACGGGGCCAGGACCCCCGCCCGGGGCCTCTGCCGCAGGAGGCCCCTGGCGCGGCCCAACCCGCCCGGCAGCAGGGCCCCGGGGTGCACTGGGGGCGCCGGTGCCGCCCCTACTGCACTTTGTTAGAGGCTCGCAGTAGGCGGCCTGCAAACCCTGTCCGCCTTCTGAGCAAAGGGGAAAAAATAACATGTCCTCCCCAAAGGAAAATGAGAGCAGCGCGGACCTGAGAACATTTAAAAGATGCTTCCCCTGCGACTTTAGCATTCAAAACAAAACAAAAAGGCCAAGGAAATCTTTTTAGGTACTCCGAGGAACGCTGAAGGGGCAAGGAAAGTTTTTCTCCGGTGCTCGCTCTCGGGGCGTTGGTTCAGTTCTTCCCTAGAACCAGGCGCTCTTCCAGAACGCCCTTCTCTCTCAGCCTCCCCTCTCGCCCCGCGGCCCAGGAACGAAGTCCTGCTTCGGGGGAAGCGGGCGGCCATGCGGGATTCGGCGAAAGACGCCCCAGCTCGGCTGGGCGGGGGGGAGCGGGGATAACGGGAAACGGCGGGCGCCGCCCGCATCCCAGGGACCTGGCTGCGAACTCCACGCACGGAAGCCCGACCAGGGGCGGGAGAGTAACGCTGGAAGGCCGGGGCCACCGCCCCACGCAGAGGGACCTAGGCCCAGACCCTTCGCTCTCACGGCCTGCTCCGGAGCCTCCTCGGCGGGGCGACTTCCGGAGCACTTGGGGCTCCGCCCATCCACCAGCGCCCCGCCCCCAGCCCTGTTCGCCCCGCCCACGCGCCCTGGGCCCTCGCCTCCCGGCAGGGCCGCCTCTCGGAACCCGCGGAAAGCTAGCCGAGCGTGTTTTTGCGGGGGAGGAGGGAGGGAACTGGACGAAGTAGCGGCTGAGCGAGGGCCGCTCGCGTTTCTGTGAAGGGGCGGGAGGAGGAGGCTCTTCCCCAGGCGAGAACGGCTGGCGGGGGATGAGCGTGCAGTCGCAGTCCTCCGGCCTCGTCCGCGTGTGTGCGCGCGGAAGGGGAGGAGGGCGAAGGCCCCGCGCGGCTGCCCGGGCAAACTTCCCGCTCGGGCAGCCGGCGGACAGGGCCGGCTCCTTCCACCCGCTACCTTCAGGCGTTTTTTGAGACGCGTAGCCCTTTCCACAAAGCGCTTTTAATACAACTTGATGCAAAACGTCAAAATGCGGTGCAGTGTGCGTGTACGTGTGAAACCGGTTTGGCACCGAAGTTCCCGCGAAGCGGGGAGGGGCTCGGTGTTTATGCGTGCGCAGCAGTCTGGTTTCCACGAGGTGCAAGGGAGACAGCGGTGATGGCCCAGTGGGTCTGGCTCACGGCCCTGCCCCGAATTGCGGTTTCGTGCGTGGGTTTCGGAGGCAGCCCCCGCTACGGGTATGGCAGTGGCTGTGGCAGCGAGGAAGCAGTGTCACCAGCGTCGCCCCGGGCCATTCAGGCAGCTTTCCCTGATGCCCTAGTTCCGCAGCGTGGGGTCCGCAGCTCATTAGGATGAGTGCAGGGGGCACCCGAGTGGGGCGCCGGGCCGGGACAGCGTCCGCAGGTAGTGGGGGAACGGTCGCCCTCGCCCGAATTCCCTGCAGGAGCCCGAGGCGGCCTTGAGGTAAGGCACGCGTTTCCTTTGTCCGCTGCCCCACGTACCGTGGCGGCAGCTTGCCCAGCGCCCAGGAGGGGAAGGCTTGGCGAGCCTGCCTCGGTTTCCCCGCGATGGAGCAGCAGAACGCCTGTAAGGGCTCAGGGCTGTCCCAGGCCACCGCCAGACGCGCAGGGGATGCTCGACACGCCCACACTTTGCACACACGTGTTGGGCACACTCGTACACCGCACACTCCATGAACATCACCCGCAGGAGGAAGCGGCCTTGCGGTTACAGGTCTCCGTAGGAGGGCAAAGCTTAAGTGATTCAAATAGGGTTAAAACCCAGCAACCAAGCCTTCCTGTCTTTGCTCTACCTTGTGTTCAGAATTTGCTAAGTTCCTAAAGCCGAGCACTTGCTCGGCTGGGCCAGGCCCTGGCTCCCTCCCCAGCAGTGAGAAATAAACACCCGGGGAGTAGTGGACCTGGGGCCGGGCTTTCGCGCCGGGAGGGGCCCGCCTGGGGGTGGGGTGGGGCGGCGGGGTTCAAAACCAAACTCGGCATTGGGCGCGGCAGGTGCAGGAGGCCGGAGGGGGCTCTCCAAAGGACAGGAGCTGCCCACCCGACCTGATCCCGGGGCTCTGGCAGCTGGGAGTCGAACTCAGGCTGCAGAACGAGGCTGGAAGCGCACGGCTTGTGAAACCGGAGCCCGGCCCTGAGTTGGGGGGCGGGGCGGAGTTGGGCACCAGGGGCTCAGAAGGATCTCGGCCAAGTCTTTGACAGCGCTCTGTTATGTTTACCCGGGCTCCGCTGACTTTTCAGAAACACAAGGGCACTTAAGGGGCACCCCCCTCGGCCATTGAGGGGGCGTGTCCAGATTCTCCAACAAAACCACCCCGCAAAAATCGTGTGTTGGGGTCTTCTCTAGAACGGCGGGAACTGGAAGAGTCCTGGATCCGCAGAAGCCAAGATTATTCAAAAAATGTAGGGGGCCTGGGCCGTGGGCAGCAAGTGCAGGAGGTATCTTCATCTTTGGAAAAGCCACCATGAACGCCTTGGAGGTGGCCGCCTGCGCCCCCAGGTCCCTTCCTGGTGCGCCCCGCAGCCTCCAGGCGATGCCTCACAAAAGCTACAAGCCGCCCCGAAGGGCACCCGGCCGCAG